CGGACGTGGCCCCTGGAGGGCAGCTGGGATGGAGCTATTAGCTGAGTGGCGTAGAGCTGGGTGGTTGCTGGCAAGGGAGGGGACGTGACATGCTGGCAGGGCAGGGTGCGACGTACGGGGCAGGGCAGCAGGAGCTACAGGACGACGACACGGAACACTTGGTAGGTGGGGTGCAAGTGAATTGCAGTGGGGTGCAGGTGGGGTGCAGGGAGGCAAAAGAATTTGACGGTGCAGTTGGAATGAGCTGATGTACAGATAGCAGGCAGGCAGGCAGGCAGGCAGGCGGTCAAGGATTGGTTAGGCCGCATGGATAGCGGCGGGAGGGAAGCGTGGGCTTTGGGAACTGGCCCCGGGGCCTGGGCCACCTGGGTGACTGGGAGCCCGGTACACGAGATGTTGATTCATCCTTGGCGGCGTGTTGCAGGAAGGCGCAGGAAGACCGGGTCATCCTATACGCGGGGGCCCAGTATGCGTGCGTGTGTATGTATGTGTGTATGTGTGTGTGTTGTGTTTTACACCTTGACAGTTGCATTCGGCCCTCAGGATGTCCTTGAGTCCTGAGGTGCCACATTTCGTGCGTCTTGAACTTGCATGCGGCGTGCAACCTTTCCACTGCGACTTGTTGGGAGAGCGGCGGCCTGTAGCAGCAACAATCTGCGGCAGCTTGTATCTCGAATCTCTCTGCACAAGTACAGCACCTCTTACCGCCTGAGGTTGGCCACTAGACTCCTATAATTATTCCCGGGATATGAATCTGTACTGCTATACCATTGATGGCGTGAAATTCGTTGCGGGATGTTGTTGTATGGGGGCTTCTTGCGTCCGGTGCGACTTAGAGTTGACCCAGATAGCGGCTTTGACCGTCTCGGCCCAGTCCTGCGCCGGATGATATGATTCTGAACTACTGAGCTCCAATAGTTGAACATATTGCATTTGCACAGAGGCGACAGTATTTGGCAGTTTTGGCATTGGCATTGTGGCCATTAAAATTAGGCGGAAGGTAAACTATTTTTCAAATGGTGGCGCTGCTCTGGAATACGGGCTTTAGGTTTGCTTAAGAGTGTCCTGGGGTTTTGTTGTGATGACCTGCGCTTCGCTCGTTCTTACGACGATACCGCAGGTCGGCTGTTAGCGGTTAACGGTTGGAGTATATCCGCCCACAAACCTGGTACATGGGCTGTGGCCACCGTTGTAGCGTGTATGTATATGTACAGTAATTGATCGTACATATACTGGGCAGCTTAGATAAGCCAACAGGCGGCATTGCTCGCCTCGACTTGGGCTATAGTCTTGATTAGGACCCGAGGCTCTGAGGGATGGGCCGGGTCGCCATTTCATAATAGAGAGGCCGTAAGAAGGTTTATAGTGCCCCAATCGAGCAGGATCGAGCTATAGGGGGTGATAGCTGACTGGGACGAATGTCCTGGAGAGTTTTCCCGTGCCGTACTTACTATAAGTACTGTATTGTAATGATAGTTCCTCGGGATTGTTTTCGTATGAGCTTGATGCAGGCTTAAGAGCAGAGAGAAATTGCATACACGTGTCCTGTGCCCCACTCCGCAGTCCACCGGGCGGCGCAGCAACGCCTCTGCCGTGTTTCAGATTCGTCGTTGGTGCTCTCATTGTTAGAAGCTCTCGGTGCTCTTCCATTCCGCATTTTTTACCCTTTTTAACCCCTTCTACCGGGGCCGCACGGCAGGGGATCCGTATCACCCCCTTTGAAATGGGTTACGACAGTTGCGTCAGCCAAGGTCCGTACACACTGGTTCCATTCTGCGCATCTAGGCGGATATTGCACGCGTCTTGGGGAAACATCGTTATTTGAAGCGTTATGTTAAGCAGAGCACACCCGAGGAGGACGAAGAGCATAATGGATTGAAGCAGAACGCGCGTCGGCCGATCCCTGACCTCGATATCAGTGTGCCTCATCCCCATCAGCACGACAACAACACACACGGCCCGCGCGCCCGTACGCACACGACGAACCTCCCCAACCCAACCACCACCTTCCACCGCCACCACCACCACCACCACCTTCCTTAGCCCCCGCGCGCCTTCGTCAGCAGCAACGGCTGCCCACCCAGGCCCGACCATTGGTGGATTTTCCCCCTCAGAAATGTCAGAGGAGGGAAAGGGGGAAATACAATCCCCCAGGGCACCAGGCATCCCCACCGCCCGCCTCGCAAAAACGACACGACATAGGGTGTGTGCATGTGTGCAGCACTCCACCCGGGTTTAAACACATGTAGACGTGCGAGGTCGTTGGCAGACGAAAATCACGACCTGCTTTTGGAGGTTTCAGGAGTTACGTGCAGTAGGTCACTACGGCCCCTTGGTCCCCTTGGACCCCGGCGGGCGGGACATGAGCGGGACGTTGACGGCGGGTGCGGTGTCCAGGGAGGGCTTGGTGGCGGAGAAGATCGAGGGGGGAGCCTCGGACGGCTTGGGCGCGTTTGCCGAGTTGGCCTCCAGCACCCGTGCGTTCATTTCCCTAAGTTCCTGTTGGGTGGTGAGGGGGTCGGGCAGTGGTGTGTGGGGGTATTGGATGTTGGGGAGTTGTCACGGTGGCAGTGATAGTTGTGTCGGGGTTTCGGCGATGCCTCCTTCTCCAGGCGCACGCGAGGAAATGGGAACATAGATAACAGAGGCCGCGGAAGGAGGGAAAAGACGAACCACGAGCGAGTGAAGCTGCTGCCAAGGAAAGACTGCTGCGGCGGATGTAAAGAAAGCAGGAGGCGGGAAGGGGAGAGGGAGACAGACAGACAGACAGGCAAACAGATAGACAAGCAGACAGACAGACAGACAGACAGGTCATCATTCAATGCCGGGCTGAGGGCCAACGCCCTTCACACCACCAGTGCGCGGCCGTGGGGTAACGGAAACACATTGATTGACACCGATTGCCATGAACTGAATTGGAAAGGAGTGAAACACATACATCGGCTGATGCGTATGCAGCGCGTTCAACGGCAGCCAGGGCGGTTACGGCTCTGCGGCGCCATTGCCTCTCCAGAGCATTTCTTAGACCACCACCTCTCCAGCTAGGCCCCTCTCCCCTCCTGATGATAACCCGCCGGGGCCCCCAAGCCCTGCAGGTCCCAACCGGTACCGGCCTCTGTCCCTTAACCCCCACCTACCCCCCCCGCCTACCTGCATGCTGGGCAGCCCCATTCGCTGCCGTACTCCATCATTTCGCAAGAGCATCCCCTGCACCACTCCGAACGCGGTGTTGGACACCCAGAGCAGTGCCGTACCGGCCGCCACGTAATTCCCGGCGGGTATGAACATGAAGGCCAAGACCCGGAAGACCCACTTCATTGTCCTGGTGACGTCAAGGGGCCCACGGAGAACACCCCCACGGTAATCCCCCACGGAGGAAAAGGGCAGAGCGGCAGCACATACCCCCCGGGGGAGGGGAAAGGGGAGGGGGAACAGTACGTATTACCAACAGAAATGTCATCATTAAAAGAATATCACACAGCAGCACAGCACACGTCCTCAGCAGCTGCGGGCCCCTCCTCTTGGCTCCCTCCTCCCGTTCGCGCACACACACCCACAACCTGAAACCCCCGAGCTGTGTCAGGTGGTAAATCTGCACATGAAGCCCACTTCTCTAACTCTATGCTTCCTACCTCCCCTCCTCCTCCTCCTCCTGCTCCTGCTCCTCCCCCAACGGTTAACCAACCCTCCCCTCGCCCTCATCCCCACCTCCCCTCACTCCGGGCTATTGGTCCCCGGGACGATAACGAAAGCGCGGAAGAGCTTCTTCACATCCAGGAGAGCGCCCGCACACCATCGTACAGTACAGCACCTCCCTGCCGCTTCCCAGCCCCCCGGGCCCCCGGAACCAACACCCCTGCTTTGCCGCCTACTTTGTGGCTTGCTGTCGCTCAGATGGCATAGGGCCCGCATCGCCCGCCAGGTTGATGCCGTACTCGACCATCGCCAGCGTCACCAGAGTACACATGATGGGCAGTCCGAAGAAGGGGTCGGGTTGCGTGAGGTCGCTGAACCACAGGGCGCCGCCGGTGGTGAGGGAGGGCACCTGCGAGGAGATGAGGGGAGGGGAGGGGAGGGTAGGGGAGGGGGGTCAAGAAGGGGGATCGATCACGGGGTTGGGAGGAGAGGGAGCGGGATGAGGGGAGGGGAAAGGCGGCCGGAAGATAACAAGCGCGGGGCGGTGGGAGAGAGGGGCGGTGTTCAAGGAGGAGCGGGAGGATCCTCCACACGCGGACGACGCGACAACCGCGGCCCCATGTCCCTTCAGGAACGGACCCCGAAGTCCCTCTTCTGCCGTCAATCACCGACGTACATCTGGCCCCCCCCCGCACACACAGAACCCCTTACAGCGGGCAACATCCGTCAACACACCGCCACCCGCGCCTGCATCCCGCTCCACACACACGCGCCCAACCGCACAAACACGCTGTACCGCACACCGCCGTAATACCTTGGCGGCCATGAGCTTGCTGATGCCGTTGAATATGGACAGGAAGACGAAGCCGTTGAAGATCATGACTCCGGGCACCATGAGGGCCGTCTTCACCGGGTCTCCGTGCTTGGACACCTGGGCCGTGTACTCGGTGCGGAAGGCGTTGAACAGCCGGTCGTGTTCTGCGCGGTTGGTCTGCGGGGTGCGGGGGAAGGAGGAGGGAGAGGCAGGTAGGGCGGGAGGGAAGGGCATCACGTTACATTTTATGAAGTGTATATATATATATATTATGTATTATATATATTATTATTATATTATATATATTATATTATTTAATGATTGCCGATGTTCATAATGCAGCAGGGGAAGGGGAAGGGGATGGGAAAGAGGGGACAGGCAGGCAAAGACCGCCTACACAAGCAGTGCATGCGGGCAACCGCACATCTCCCCCTGCACCCACAGAAACCCAACCCCCGACCCCGACCACCCCAACCGACCCACCGCCTTCATGGCCGCCTCCTGAAGCTTCTTGGCATGAAGCAACGCGTAGTTAAACTCCTGTGCGGGTAGGTATGCATGTACGCACGTATGTAAGTATGTATGTACACTCCTGTGTATTAGGAGGACACATTGCCACCCTCTAAACAAGCAACATGCCGAGTGATACCAGACGCAAGAGACGTGTGTGTAACGTGTGTGTGGGTCGCTGAGTAGGCGGCTGGTTTCGATCCGGGGACTCCCTAAGTCGAGCCAGGCTAGCCAGGTGGGGTCGGGCCGTGTCAGGCCTTCACACGGGTCATATTCGGTTCCGGATTCTGCCCTCCCCCGGGGCGGGGGCTGGGGCGGGGAGGGAGCAAGCGAGGGTAGCTAAGCGGCCAGCAGTTCACCTCCACCCGCCCTGCTTCCCTCGGGATGTGGGGGGGGCCCCCTTCCCTCTCCACCCGTGGCCGCCAAGACCACCAACACCATTGATCAAAACATCACAAAGGCCATCATCACCCACCATCATTTTCGCCGACCCTCGTTGCGCCAATACCATCAAGGGAAATGTACACAGTCGCAAACTGATGTTGAATAACATAATGGATACCCACCTGCGTGTACGACGTACGACACACCAGGAGGAGCGGGGGCTCAGCAAGAGACCTTGCACACAGACACAAGACACACGCACACATACCGGTGCAGGGGAAGAAAGACCCCCGGGGGGGAGGAAACCACCCCACCCGGGCCGAGGGGGGAATGGGAATTTGCTTCTGGGGGGGGTTTCCGTGAGTAGCCCGGCAGACAGACAGACAGACAGACAAACAGACAGACAAAAAAGCCAGATGGACTTATTGGCTGTGTTCCGACAACCCCATGTGTGTGCACCCCCCCTACCCCGATGGGACTCCTCCGCCCTGCCCGGGGGCCCCGCGGGGGAGGGGGCCCCACCCGGGGGCCGGTAGCGGTCAGCCATAGCCTGGAGGATAGCAGCGCCATACCCGCGGCCTGGGCGACCTGGGCAACCCTCTCAATTTCCATCTTCAACTACGCGCCCGGGAATCGGCCCTTTCCTTCCCCTTTCCTTCCCCTTTCCTTCCCCTTTCTTTGACACTGGCACAGGAGTCTGACGCCCGGCCCTCCTGCCTGGCTTAGAGAAAGAAGTGTAACCTTCGAAAGGTGGTCGCGGCTGCGAGGCCGCCATCGCTGGACGTTCATGTGCCGAGCTTACCAGGGCGTGTCGAGCATTTCGTGCACCGCCTGCAAGCCGCTGATGCACCAGGACGCCGCGAAGAATGCGTCTGCCTTCGCGCCCAGGAGCGAGGCTCGCTCGAGCGCGTCACACGCCTGATGGATGGCGGTCGCCACCTCTGCTGCGCTGCTCTCCGGAAGGGGGAAGAACTCGGGCGGCGGCGTCAGGTCCATGCCGCTGTTTGACGGAGCGTCGTCAGGGAATCCACTACTGGATGATGGCACAGATGCGCTGCTGCTTTTGGTTGACGCATGGCGCACGCCGATGAACCCAGTCCACGCATGGTTCTGGTGCCAAGAAGCGCCGCCTTTGTGTTGATGCTGATCGGATTTTAGATTAAGTATAAGTGAGCTTGCGCTTGGGTAAGCTGATAAGAGGCCTGGTGCGCCCGATGCTGATGGTTCCGCGTGATGGAGCAGCAACGCTGCTCCACGCTGGAGGCTGCGCCAACGCTGCGCCATGGCCTGTTTCACTGCCTTAATACAGAAAATCAACTATGAATAGTTTACGCAAAGCGGTACTTTCAAAGACATATACTACGTTGAATTTGTATATGCGTACGCTACAATAATGTGCAACATGCAATAACAAATCCATACAAAAAATGATGCTGTAACTATGCACAGGTTTCTGCTGCTCGGTAATCGCCGCAGTTGTTTCATACGACAATCGGAACCGACGCCAGTCTCTTGTGCTGCCGAAAGAGCCCGATTGCTAGATTATGGCAAGGCTGCACCCGAAGGCTGAAACTCTTGGTTAAAATCTTGGTTCTACTAAATGTGGGTCACCCAACGGCTCAACTGCGCTGCACATATGTTAGCGCCACGGAAGGGGCAAATGCCACCAGAAGCCGGCTAATGCGCGATAAACAAACACGGCCCGTGAGAACCTAAGAAATGTAACAGTAAGAAGTAACCATGACCTAGGACCTAGGATCTGACGTAGTTCGACTTTAACTGTACTGTGTGTCGTACGGAAGTCTCACCTGAAGGTTGCGCCTTTCTTTCTGGGGCATCGGATTCCTATTCTCATCTTCACAGGTTCATTATACATATACGTACCCTTCACTGACAAAATGAGCTCTTGCTTCACCCACCTAAGACAAATACACTGATCCTTCATTACGGCGGCGCACAGAAAAACCAATTAGGGGCACCGCAGCAGTAGCACTTACCCTGGGCCCTCCGGAACAACCACAAGTACAATTGCACACGCTTGGGCTAGGTACACCACGCAAATCATTGGGCGCTGTGCAAAACTCCCTCTCAACTGCAAAACTCTAAAACATTACAGCTGAAATGGAAACACTCAGCATATAGGCATTTTGACAGAACGTGGACCAAACTGCATGAAACCGACGTGGTGAAATTGCGTTGGGGCTGGCACCTAATAGATTGCTTCCCGTACATTCCTAGGGTTTCATCTTAGGACAGGGGAAATCTGGTTGGTTGGGGCTCTACGTACGGGCCCTGCATGGTACGGGGCTCGCCTTGGTAGGAACGTTTGTATCGGAGAGCGCGTGTGCGTGTGCGTGTGCGTATGTGTGTATTTCTTCTGGTTTGGCCCTTACCCCCGCAGCTGGGTGATCCTTATATGAAGCGCTTATAAATGCTGCGGCAGCGGCAAGAAACAACAATTGGAAATATAAAGGTTGGCTTTTATAGAATCGGCTGCTATGTATGCCGCGGCAAGGCTGGCGACCAGCTGCTGGTCGATGACTGGGAGGCAGATGTTCTACTTCATTTATCCACAAATGCCTTAATGGAGATCATTCGGATATTCGTGTTGCGTGTCACCAGTCGACAACCGCACCAAACTGGTCGGTAACTGGTCGCTTCGGTACCTGGCCGGTAGGGTAACAGAACTAACGAACTAACGACCTAGTAAATGGGGGTTCACTAACCGGCAAGATAATGACCGGTAGGGTTACCGGTCGGTTACAGGGTCGTTATCTCAAAATCTCGGTTACCCTACCGAAGCGACGGTTGGGTTATCACTAATGGGTTTGTTACCGACGACGGTCATGCCATGGGGGTTTGCGGTGTGCGTGAATGCTGCGGCGCCCGCTCCTTCTGCTTATGCTGCTTTGCGGCCGCGCGGTTTTCTCGTGGCTCTTTCCTTGGGCTTCCTTGAAATAGCTATTTATGGCTCAGCTCATCGCCACACTCCGCAACTCCAGGAGCCCATCCATGCCAACTGCTCCAGCACTTCCCTTCTGCTCCCTTCTGCTCCGCCTCACGCACACCTATCTTACATGTCCTAGTCTCCAGTTCGACTGGCAATGGGGAACTGGGTTTGCGCACTGCCACAGGAGGCTGTAGATGCTCAGCATCCGTTCTTGTTGAGATGGAGGCGGCACGCAATGCACACCGTCCAAGGATTTGCACTAGCGCCTCAGAAAGCATTTATACACCAGATTCATACATCACTCCAACACCGCCGGCCGCCGCACCCAGCCCTCGCAGCTATCCATAACATTGAGCGTTAAGTCCAAACACGACGCCGTTCCTCCGCTTGCAGTTGCCCAGTGCCCTACAGCCTCACCTGCGGAATACTGCGGGGCAACTCCTTCCCTCCGCACCGAGGGGCCGATAGACCTTTTCGGCTGCGAAGCAGCTGAATGCCCTAGTCGTTCACTCGCGTCAGCTCGGTCCGCACCGGTTGATGTTTCGGAACATTATCGCAGGAGGGGTAGGGATGGAGTCCCTAACACCAAGCGGCCGCACACAACCCAACCCAACACAACACGACCACACCCAAACACCTGGAAGGCAAACGAATCGTTAATACCAACAGCACGGGCGATACGCAGCGAGTATCTCTCTAACCCAGGAAACTGCCATAAACATCGTCGCCATCGCTAATGAGAAACGTTACAATCATACAACAACAAGAGCGACGCGAAATGCAACGTAAGAGCCTCTCGGCAAAACCCTTCCTCGGGTCTGAACGGTTGCATGTTTTGCAAAAAAAAACAAAAAAAAACTTTGCAAAACCGCAGTTTCACTACCTCGCTTACTTCCGTACCTCATTACGAACTTGCTTTTGCCATGCGACAGCGCTAGGTTGTCCCCAGCGGGGCAGGCCGCCATCGCCGCAGCAGCATCACGCCGCACCCAGGCTTTTCAAGGCTTTTCTACACGGGGCCCCCATACATAACCTGACCAAAAGACCACCGGAAGCAAGGACAACAGGGCACACAAATGATGCCATCTTGTTCCCGCTGCTCCGCCAGCGCATTCGCCTCACCCATCCCCCCATCCATTCCCCGCCTCCCCGATGCAGAGGTCCAGATGCCGCTACGTAGCCCCTGGATGGGGACTGAGAGAAGACTGGCTTTCCTGGCCGCCTCCAACCAGTCCCGGCCCCACAGTGTGGAGCGACCCCTAACTCCTCCTCCAACTCCTCCTCTTCCTCCTCCTGCGCTACCCCACACACAACACCAATCGCTGCAGCATGGCGTCGAACCACCCCCGCTCTTGCACATGCACCTGTAGCGCGAGAGGCCTGCTTCCGGTGCTGCAGCTGCTCCTACTGCCTTCCTTCAACCGAAAAGCTGCTGCTGCTGCTGAAGCCCGCGCAAACGCAAACGCAAAGGCTGCTGTCATAAGTCGTTCGGTCGCTGCTGCTACTACTATTAATGCCCTCCTTTCACCTCCGCTCTGCTCTGCTCGACTGAGATACTCCAGTCCGCCGCTCCTGCCTCCGCACGCATCTACACTCTCCTGGCTTTCCCTCCCTCCCTTCCTCCCTCTCTCTCTTTCTCCCTCTCTCCTCCTCGTCCACGATGCTTCAATTCAACCCCAGTAGAACCCGTTACGGCCCCGTCCTCACTCCCGTTCTGGCCCGGGACAGTAACTGGCCATCCCACCTGCCCATCATTTCCTCATCAGCTGCTCCTCCCGCATCAGCAGCTCCCGGTCACCACCGCCGCCAGCAATGCCCTGCTGTTGCTGCTGCCGCATCGCGCCATTAGAACCAGAGGAGGCGCCGTTGCCGTCACCGTCGTCACCGCTGTCGCCAGCGCTGCTGCTGCTGCTGCTGCCGCCCCCAGCAGCGCCCCCCAGCTGCTTGCTGACCAGGTACACAACGGCCCCCGCAGCAGCCACGCCCCCGGCCGCCAGCAGGACTGGTCGCGTGTAGGTTCCGGAGCGCTCAGCGAGCTCTGCGAATAGGCACATAGGACACATGCACAGACACACAATGCCCCAACAATATTACCCCAAAGGGGAAGAACTAAAGGGGATCAAAAGTAACGCTTTCCTTGTCCCAGCTGCCGGCAGCCGGGAGGGGGGGTGGGCCGGGACAGGGGGGGTGGGAAGCCCCGTGACCTCGGGCCCAAAACGATGGATGATTGAGAAACGAACCTTTCTTTTTGAACGAACGTTTCTCAATTATCCATGCTTGCTTGCGAAGAGAGCTCGCGTCATCTAACGTTTACCGCCTCCAGGGCCCCCCGCCCTGCATCCCTACCAAATGGCAATGCCACCGCGGCCCCCGCCCTCTACCACCCAACCCCAGAAAGCTGCCGCCATGTGGTCAAGACGAGAACACGTTATGGACTGCTAACTGATCGATACACCCCACCCGGCTTCTGCTCCTCCTCCCTGTCATCTGATTTGGGATCCCATCCGAGGATAAAACACACACAGACACATATCTCTCCTCTTTCCCCCTGCCCCCACCTTCAGCTTCCCTCCTACCCCTCCCATAACCCCCTTCACCCTCTCCTCCACTTTCCCCCCTGCGACCCGACCTGCGAGCACGGTGGCCATATCGACGCCGCTCTCCAGCAGGCTCCGTCCTGCTCCTCCCAGCGACGCGTACAGCACACTCCACACCGCCATACCCGCCACCGTGCCGCCCAGGAAGGCCGGCAGCTGCAGCGGCGTCAGACCCAACACGTAGTTGGACGCGGAGAAGGGCACCACCGGCGTCAGTCTCAGCAGCGCCACCGCGATGAGTTGCTGCCAGAAGCTGCCCGTCTCAATGGTGCGCTGCACCTCCGCCAGCTTGCGGGCCACAGCGTTGTGGTTGGCGGCCGACGGTGAGTCACTTGCCTCCTCACTCATCTCCATGGAAATGACCTGGGTGGGCGGGCGGGCGGGCAGGGGAGAGTGGCAATGGCAGTGGCAACGAGGGCGGAGGTGGAGGTGCCCCGGGATGTGGGTCGGCAGGGATGAGGGGAGTGGCGAAATCGTGTGACACTTACTACGAAAGATGCAAGCAAACTTGGGGGGCATGTGGAGCTTGGGAGGGAAGGGGAAAGACGAACCACAAACGAGTGAAGCTGCTGCCAGGGCAAGAGTGTACCAGACGTAGAACTGACCGAAAGGTGTCCGGAGGGAAGGGGGAAGAAGGAGCTGAGGGGGCTGACCCTAGGTTAGGCGGGTAGTAACCGGGCTCCAGTCCCTCGCCCGCTTTTCCCTTCCCTACCTTCTCCGCCAGCGGACGGCCAATTCCCCGGGAAATGACGAATGCGTTGACTGCCGCCAGGGTGACTCCCAGCAGCATCAACACGGCACCCTGACAGACAAACAGACAGGCAGGCAGGAGCAGGTGGGGATCTCTTGATGGAGCAAAGAGCAAGGGGTTCTATGGCTTGGTGTAGAACGTGGCCGTGACTTCCCAAGTGCACAAGTTACTTTGGACTGGACGCAGTAGCGGACCCTGACAACGACAACGACAACAACCCACCGTTAACCGCAATCAAACTGGTTCAATAAAAACCGTACCTGATGTCGTTTACTTTTACGTTTACGTTAAGTCAATTCTCCTAATGCCAAGACTGCCAAGTCAAGGCCACGCAAGCTCATTCCCGGCAAGGCTTTGATATTTTGGACGACTGCAATTAGTACTTAGCTTCTTGCATCACACCAGGCAATTCCTCACCCCTTCCCCCCCCCCCCAAAGAACCCACAACGGAGCTCACCTGCTTGCCCCCGAACAGCAGGCCACTAGCTAGCGACAGCGGCTGCGTGGGGAAGAGCGGGATCATCTCGCTGAGCATCACCACCGCCACAAACACCAGGCAGCCGGCTGGTCCCATGGCCTCGACTTGATCCTGAGGGGGAGAACCGGTTGGGGTGGGGTGAAGGTGGGGAGAGGAAGGGGGGGAAGGCGAGGAACACCGCATAGGCGGAAAGTGGGGTGGAGGTAAGGAAAGCATGGTGCAGAGAAATGCACCATGAGGAGAGGGCGGTGGCCCCAGTGGCGGTCGCTTACTGCAAATGAACATGGAAGAGGGATGAGGGATTGTGCTGGCACCGAGCCATCTTAAACTCGTCACCGCTAAGGGTTTTCATTCCGCGTGTGTGGCTGGTTTTGCTGTTTTCCCCTCGTTGCGGAGTTTGACTGAGCCTCAATGTTTGGAAGACGACATACAGGGGTTTCTGTGAATATATGCCAATTAAAAGCTAGGTCAGGACCAAAGCAAGAGGTCTTTGACTCCCATAGACCGTTAGAGGTGCCGGACACGTTAACCCTCTTGTCTGCCACCTTGCTCCTATCGGCCCTTTCGTCCCGTTCATAACAGCCCTCAAGCTGCGTATTATGGACGGACCGAATGGGCGAAAATGGTTGTTTCCAAGCTATCACGGTGACATAACGCCACACTGCGCGGGAAATGTTGCCCCAAAGACGTCCAAGCCTCCGGCCCATTTACCAAGAAGTCTTTAAACATGTCGAATGCTCCTCCTGAAAGCGTTCCGCCGCTAGCTGTTGCCGGGTCGGCGAGGAGCAATGACAAACCAATGGCCACGGTGGAAATGGCCGCACAGGTAACCCAAGCCGTTGAGCCGCTGCACGACGGCGCGCCTGGCGCATTCAATGACGCTTGTGATCGTTCATCCTGTTGCCATGAAGCGTCATGGCTGTTTGTGCTGCAAGCGTCCTCTTCCAGCTGTGTGGCCAGCGAAGCCGGACGTGGACCTGCCTGTCCGCAAATGCCGGTTGTTGGAAGAGACAAAAGAAAGCGCCGTGTATTCCCGTATCGACTCTTGACCAAGGGACATGCACCCTGGTGGAGTAGCGGTCGCGCCATCGCAGGATATGCTGAAGGAAGGTTCCCCTCCACCTACAACAGCTTACTTCCTTAATATTTAAAGCAAAATGTGATTATTTATAGGAGCAATGTAACGTTAACAGCTAATAAAACGAGGCCTGAGTTGGTGAACTCGCCGCTGTGAATAGGGGGCGCAATTTCTTACTGATAAACACAGGACGATACACGAGTTCCTAGCAGTCGCGTATGTCTTTGTTATAGGTGTTCCATATAACGCGATTAGTAGCGCACTGCAAGGATGCGCAAATGAAATGACCATAGTGCCGTACCAATAAAGTACTAAAAAGCCCCGTTCGTTCAATGGAAGATACCTGATCTTTACATTCACCACATGTGCGTTAAATAAGCCTTGGGCTGACGTCATCGCATTTGAAGGATCGTCAGGGAAACATGCAGCTGAGACACGCGCTTGTTCCGGACGTTTGCCTCGGCAACGCGGCACTGCCCACGATAAGCCAGCTCCTCCTGAACTGCCGCCGGGAAGCTCTACCAAACTTTTTTTACCTGCGTTCCAATTCCCTCATTAAACACACTTCCACGACTACCAGCAGCAGCCACAGCAGCAGCACTGGCCCCCAGCTGCACCCCGTTGGCTGGCCCCCTCCGACACCCTTCCCCATTATACCCCGCCTCCCAGCCATCCTCTCTCTTCTCTCCCCATACTCTTCCACTCACAGCACCCCCTTCCCCCTCTCCGCGCCCACACCCGCTCCGCAAAGCCTCCTCACGTCCCGCTGCCTGTCATCGTCATCCAGCTCGTCCTCTGAATCCGGCTCCGGAACCTCAAGCGAGAACCACGAGCTGCTGGCCTCCAAATGCCGTGTGCTGCCCTTCAGCCTGAGTCGCGAGGAGGCGGATCGCGATTGGCGGCGGCACCACGAGGGCTTCTTCACGTCCCTCCCCGCCAGCGCCACCGCCGTCAAGGCCTCCCTGATGCCCTTCTGGTGCATCAGCACCGAGGCAAGCGTCACCCTGCACTCGGCACAGGTGCGGCTTGATCAAACCCTAAAACTCTGAGAGAATTTGAATACCCAAAACAAAAATCCACGTTTAACCACGTAAGCATACAGGTCAAAAGATCATCGGCGCAGTCCATATCGCTGTGTCCAGTTCCGCTTCTCCTCTTACTTTATACCTACCATGTCCCTCAATACATAGGAGGCGTCCTTGGCCACCCCAATACTCATTCCCCACGGCATTGCAACACGTCCTGCCGTCTCTAGGATCCGATGTGCTGCTTCCCTTCCTCCCAACCACCCCAACCTCCCGGGCCAACTACCCGCAGATCGGTCGGGACTACGTCGCTACACGCTACAACCCAATGACACGCAGACATGAGCCGCGATGGGAAACTGCCTGGCACACTGTCGCACCCAATTGGCGCTACAGCCGCCGCTGGACCGCCGAGTCCGAGGAGACGCAGATATACGGCGGTTCCAAGTACCGCAACGACACTGCACTGGGCCGGATGCGCCCTGGCGAGTATGTACGACAGGCCCTGACGTATGGCGATTATGTACGGCGCACGGCAGACAAGGAGCAGCCTGAGCGACTGATTCCCTTCCGTCTGAGTCCAGATGAGGCGGTGGAGGCGGCGAAACAGGCCATTAGGTGAGGTAGTGGGGGGAAGTGGGGATCGGGAACTGGAAGGCAAGGAAAAAAACAGTGAGCCCGCGCGCGCGCGCGTGTGCGTTGTGTGTATGCGCTGTGTGACGCTCTATGGGAAAAATACCGGATGATTGCATTACCAGAAACAAGGAAGCAGGTGTTTGGCTCCGCTTCTGGATTAGCTCTACCGCCTCCCCAAGACCCGCAGGCAGTCTGAGCTCCGGGCGGCAGAGCACCAGCTGCTGCAGACCTACGGCGGCGACCGAGTCCAGCTGGTGGTGCTTGAGGTGGAGCTGGGGCGCCTGAGCGCGACACCGGTGTTCTCACCCGTCTATGTGTTCAAGACGAGAGTGCGCGGCACGGCCATGCGCACCTACGTCGCCGGTGGGCTTTGGGGTTGGATGGACAGGGGCGGGTAGGGTCTGGAGGGTTAGGTAGGGCCGGTGTGCTCCGCGGGGTGGCAACACTTCGTACATAAGAGCGTGTCTGTGTGTATGTGTATACATGTGCGTTAGCTGCGCAGTGCTTCTGTTGCGCTGTCCGGTGCCTGGCCGCTTTCAAAAATCGTACTGCTAGTGGCAGAAACGTCTCGTCAATACCGAAGCGCCTTGCCATTTACAAGGCTGTAGCTTTTTTTCTTCCTATACCCCCCTGCCTCCCACCGCCCTGTTCTACCCCGCTACTGCGGGACCCCCGGGACGGTATCTGCTCCGGTGTGCGGCGGCGTACGGTGTGCTGCGAGAGGGCTGTAGGTTTCCGCAGCGGCCTGTCCTCGGGTCCGGTGCTCCCCAACGCGACGCGAGTGGCAGCTGCCGCCGCTGTCGCGGGTCCCTTAGCGCTTCTGGCGTCTGGGGCCGTGGGCCCCGGTATTAGCTTGCCAGCTGCCCTGCTGGTAGGGGTGGGGCTGCCCTACCTGCTGGCCTACGGATTAGCCAGGTGGGTCTGTTGTAGGTGGTAGAGTTGTGGGTGGTATATATACTGGCTGCGGAAGGGAAGAGGTATGAGTTGGTGAGGCGGTGCCCCTCTTTGATCTTCTTTATGTCCATGTGAAACCGCGAAACCTACCGTCCACTTCCGTGAACCTCGTTCTTTCGCAGCCTGTGGCCCGAGCTTCATTCGGGCTTTTTGCGGCTGAGGGCCCGGCTGCAGCGGCCACTGCCGGACGCCGCACAGGACGAGCAGGAGCGGTGGTGGCGGTACGAGTGGGTAAAGCAAGATACCAACGACTGGCAGGGGTATAGCTACAGTGACGAGGGGCGCTACAGCCACAGCTACCGCCGGCCCGGCGCCGGCGGTGAAGGCGGGAGTCGAGGAGCTTCAGGGGCCGAGTGGGGCTGGCAGCAGGACCGCAGCGGTGCGGGCGGGGCAGGACAACAAAAACAACGACAAGAGGTATGTCTTGTGAACAACCTGTGGTCTTACTAGAGAGACAGTGAAGTACTTGCACAATGATCAGCGGCGGGGAAGTAGAGGGACTTGATGCGGACGGTGCCCCAAAGGCTGTTGCCAAGGCCGTGTGCATTTAAGGTTTTAGTCCGGGAGCGGTTGGCGTTGACGTGACGTACACAGGGTGCTTTTGTACGGCCTCTGTCCGACTGCTCCCGGCCACAACTTCCTGACACGCGCACCTGGCCACTCTTTCCAGCTGCAGCATTCTTACTGCCGCTTCCCCCTCCGGCCTCCTGCCCGACAGGCCACTGGCCGTGCAGCTCCAGGTTCCGACCCCAAGGGCTACTACCACATTCTGGGTGTCAGCCCCTCCAGCAGCACCGAAGAGATCCAGGCAGCATTCCGAGCGGCTGCACTTAAATGGCACCCGGACAGGTGCGTGTGTCCGTCTGTAAATGTCTGCTTGTCTGTCGGATAGACTGGTGCGGGCTGTCGTAGTTGTCCTTGCTGGGGCAGCACGCAAGATATACATGCACGTGATTTCTTCGTCTATGTTGCCGAGGTTGATAAGATGCTCAGTTGCACATGCAAGTGAATGTGGGGAGGGAGCATCATTGGTTGGCGAGCCAAATGACAACACAGCTCCCAGCTTAGCATGCACCCTCGTGCAATCTGGGAGGGAGCAGACGTGAGAGCTTTTTCCTCGCACCCGCGTCCTTCCAGCACCAAGGATCGCGGTACACCCGGGACTAGTCCATTAAACATCATCGGCAACAACCTGCCTAGGCCATGTAGCAGGCGCTCTTTTTGCCGCCCTCCCAGGCGTCAGCGGCTCTACAGCGGCTCTACACACCATGCTGACTTGTTAAGACGTATAGAGTAATGGACTGTGTATGGACGGCTTTGAACCTCCAAAACCCCACAAACAGCATCCACTTCTGAATTTTTATTCAAGCTCCTGTGAGATAAACTAAAGATACATCTTCGACACGTTCCGTAAAGAAAAGACCCCAACAGTCTGACAAGAAAACAAGGAGAAGAGGTACGAAGAAGACAAAAGGTTTCCAGCTGTCGCCGTCACCGCCGATTCCTGATAATACTTCCAGTCGGAAGCACCGCAAGCGCAGTGAAAGTGTATGCACATACAGACGTACGTACCAGGCTTGGCATAAGCCTGATCACCCGTGATTCCCCAGAACTTACCCAACACAGTCAACGAACTTCCTAAATATACCCAATACTGCTGCCACTCATACTTCAGCGTTGAGCAAGATTCCTACAGAATACATGCCCCGTCTGCCCTTAATTTCCGCCGCCCCTCGCAGTGCCCCACTTCCTTTTCCATTCTGCCCCTGTCCCACCTCTCCGCCGTCCCTTCGCTCCGCTGCGAAACGAAAATTGCGGGACCCCACTCACCCACGTGTTGCTCCCCCTCCCCTCTTCCCACCCCAGGCAACCAGACCCCGCACGCAAGGCTGAAAGCACTCGCCAGTTCCAATCCGCGCAAGAGGCTTACTCAGTACTGAGGGACCCCAACCGCCGTGCAGCCTACGACCGCGGATTTGTTTAATGACATGGACAATTCGTCTCAGCTATACTGCCGGGATCCTCCAGCCAACATAACACCAGTCGCTGCAGCTGGCACGATGGATCCGGCCATCGTCCGCGGCACGCAGCCGAACAACAAAATCGCAGCTGGACACCTCGCACTGCTGTGAGAGTCTGCGGCTATAGCCATCGGTAGTGACTGCCGCCTGGTCACAGCACGGCTTGCGCCTTCGGCTGGTCTGCAAAGCGCCGCGTATTGGCAAAGTAGTCGCCACGGACGTCGTCCGGCCACAACCGTTCCCCTCTTCCAGCCAGGCACATGGCCAGGGCGGGGAGCGCCTATCCATCACCCCTTTGCACACGCTGTGCCCCGCCTGTTGGTTGCCAAACGGCTTAGCTGCCATGCGCCACGGTCCTCTGTTACCAGCCCAGCCATGGCCGCAAGATGGACGGGGCATGTAGGCATTTGGATGCAGCTCGTCTGCAGCGGAGGGGTTTCATCCCGTCATACACCATGTCGAATCCGACTGCAAGCAAACCATGCTGTGGTGGGTTCGGCGAGGAGCGTCCTTCGCAGAACGCAGACAGCCCACACCGTGCTCAACAGCGCCTTCACTTGGTACCTACGTTCGGCCGCACCACACAGCACGGACTGCCGCTTAGCTATCGCCAAGATAGCATGGACCTTGCTGAAATGTCGGCTCATCTCCATATTGCCACACGAAGACGTTGCTCCATGTGGAGTGGCGCACTCACATCCAGCCATATGTAGTGGACCCAGCCACCTTCCCGCGGTACAGCTCCATGCCAGGACGTGCCGCGGCAGCAGGATATGAATCCTGCCCTGTCCTCCCCACCAAGAGGAGACCCCCTGATCGATTCCGTTGATGCGCTCCGGTGTTTTTTTCACTCCGGCCGCTGCACATGTGGCTGAGGCGGCGCTCCGGCGGCTCCTTGATGCTGGCTGGCACCTGCGTTGCTGTCGTGTGCGGGACGGACTCTTTCCCCGAAGCTCTGCGCCGCATACCGTTGCCTGGGGCGAGCCGCTGTTGCTACATTACTTGCTGTTACTACTCGTGCTTTACGGCATTCCATGCGCTGCGCTCCCATAAGGAAGCGAACCCACAAGAATGATCCAAGCCATGTGGGGAAAAATGCACGACAACGTGGTCGTATCGCGCCTACAGGATGGTCAAAAGTCGTGTGTTGTCGACTTGCGAAGTTAAAAGACGACCTGCGCCGCCTTGACCTTCTTCTCCACCTCACTATATGCCTCCGCGAACTCCTTAGCCTCCTCCTCGTCACCGTCCCCTCCCTTGACTGGTTTGGGTAGAATGAGGAGGCAGGACGTGGGCCGCTTGCTCAGCGCGGCTGCACCAAGATCCTGACAGGAACACCAAAACGGGTGGTGGGAAATGTAGGATTAGCTAGGTGAGGCTGGTTAAGGAATAAAACTATTGAATGGGATTAAGGTAGGTGGCATGGCTAGCAGGATACAAGGAAGTGAATTGAACCTTTGAGAAGGTTAGGAGATTTGGTCTCAAGAGGCTGGATGGCGCGTCGGGCAACTTGCAAATTGTTACGGTTTTCGTGAACAGGTCGCAGCCTATTCCCTAGTGGCACCATTTAAGGATAGCTTCCGAGCCTAGTACATTAGATTAGAATGCTCGTGCATGTGACAAAGGTCAGGCTGTAGGGAAGGGGTCCACCGCCCGCCGATGGTGGAAACTACATTCCGCATTCATGGACATTCATTGTGGACAGGGTTGGATGCTATTAGACCCCAGTACAAACCGTTATCCCATCCGTGGCCCTAGGCAATCGACCTGACGAATCAAGCTTGCATCTACCATCGCGCCTATGCCGCTCCGTAACCGCGGCCCGCTTCCAACCCGCCTCTAGCAATTTGTAACATGGACATGCGTCTCTGTCCCATCGCAACCGACGGCACGCGACCGGCCCCTCGGAGTGTAGTACAAAAGCCCACCAGGACACCCACACGGGGCCCCCGGCATACGCTCGTGCTGGGTCAAAGAGATCAAAAGGAAACACCATGCCCTGCGATGCAATTCTTACCTCCTTGGATGGCACGTAAATGTATTGAACCTTGTGGTCCTCGCACACGATGGGAATGTGCGTGAGAACGTCAATTGGGGAGATGTCGCCCGCAAGAATGCATATCCTGCAGACATGAGGATGGTTGCTATCTGACGCATATCCAAGTATAATGGGTGCCGAAAGTATGGATATTGCGAGGAAGCAGCCGCTGAGCAGTGCAGGCCGGCGGGCGGCGGAACGCCAATAAACGGCGACAACTTACCCCTTGGTGTTCTTCCGCAAAGCTTTAACGACCTCCTTCACTCCTCGCCGAATCGCCTTCCTCTTTGATGCTTTCTTAGCCAGCTTGTAGACTTTCTTGCACAACTTTTCGTCCGCCAGAGGCTTTGCTATCACCGAGCAGAACTTTTTCTTGGTTTCATAATCAAGCCCTTGTTCCCCTTTGTCAGTCTCGGTCTTGTCGGACTTGCCCATGCTAACTACAGTATCGGTCTAGGTGGCGGCGGGTTAAGATTACCGGATTATGGCAATAGTAAGCTCCTTGGGTAGTTATGAACAGAGACACTACGTGCCTAAACAGTCCGGAACGGCTCTCGTCTTTCGCAACCAACATTACTCGTACATTCGTACGGAGTGTTCGGTCGTCAACCAAACCTTGTTGTCCATCCTACCTCTTGCCTCTCATGCGAACATCTACGTAGATTGCATATATTGATCTGCCGTTAACTAAGTAGAGACCTCATGTTTGCGCTGTGCACTTCGAGCGTCGACGTTGGCGATTAATTTAAGTGACTATCCATATTTACATAGTTTGTTTATAACTCCGATTATATTCTCAAGTTTCATATTCGCTGTCCTGCCGGAGCCAGAGAGGCCTCGCGCATGCGAGCCGCTGGACTTGGAGTAACAAGAGGTTAACCTTAGAGCAGTATGGAACCTGATCTTGAAGCGGTGTGTATAGCCTTACGGCTGAGATGCTACGCAGCGTGCAACCAAGACACTCCGCTTGGCGACGTCCTCTGAGTGAAGCCTCTCCGCTTGGCTTCAGGTTGCCTCCACCTCATACGAGGGGTCCGCGGACAACCTCGGCCGCTGGAGCGGCCGGGGCCGCGTTACCTTCAAGAGCGGCGCCACGTACGATGGCAGCTGGTCCGCGGGTCAAATGCACGGCCATGGTAAAATTACCTTCCCTGACGGCATCAGTTATGAGGGCGAGTTTCAAAACAACAAGCTTACCGGCAAGGGGGTGAGTTATTGTTCGCAGCGACCGGCGGGGCACTGTACCGCGCCTTCTTCCTCAATGGACACACGGAGTAGAGAGAGAAACCCCTAGGAGCGGGGTTCACGCGCAGAACCCCGACCCCACGAGCCAGCCAACCACATGCCAGCACACCTACCGCATCGCTGTTAGCGAGGGGACACGCGTTCGGTTACAAGGAACCCACCACCGCGTCCTCCGTAAGGGGCACAGGCAAGCGACACGGCCCTCTTCTAAAGCCGACATGAGGCACCACCTAAACACAGCTAAATCAGCCGCCCAAAGCTCCGGGACACTTACCTTGGAACTGATTCCATCACACGAACCGAACAGATCCTCAGTACGGCACCCGTCCCGGCAGTCGTCACTTGATTCCTCAACCCAATAGGCACGTTTCCAACTCAAGAGAGCTTCAAACCAGAGAGCCTGTCTGCACCAAGCGACACGTTTGATAGACGCATTTCAGCTGACCTAAGCCAGTACTTCAGCTGCACTGGGTTGCACTCGCGCCTCTTGCCTGTCCTGGACATGGCCGCCGCATACGACAGCGGAAGAGCCGGATCCACCCAGTAAGGTGAATCCGCTCTTCAAGCGGAGCGATCAGCATTCCCTGCGCTGTGAGGCACAAAGCTGAAAGCACAACACCGACCTACCACCTACTCCATTAGAAACCGCATGTGTGACCTTATCGGATGCGCATTTACCCATCGGTGCGGCCCCCCATGTGCTGTGCGGATGTTTTTTACGGCACATGCGATCAGCAGGTGTACACATGGCCCACGGGTGCTTGCTACGAGGGGCATGTGGTGGACGGCAGGCGGGAGGGCCGGGGACGGCTGTCCTTCACCAGGTCGGCGGCAGTGTATTACGGCCAGTGGCACAACGGCTTGCGCCACGGACACGGCGTGCTGTACACCAACGCCTCCCGCACGAGCTATTACCGAGGTGAGGTGCCTGTGACCGATGTCGGCCCCTGCCTGTTCGTGATGAGCCGGGGGGGTTGTCGCCGGCTTGCTTCTCCCGTCCAGGCGTCCACATAACCGCTCAGACGGCTACCATCCCCTTATCCCCGCAATCCCCGCTTGCCCTGTCAGGCAACTGGGTTAGCGACATGAAGCATGGTCCAGGGGTTATGAAGTACGAGAACGGGGATGTGTACGACGGAACGTGGGAGAACGACAAGAAGAAAGGCCTGGGCACCATGCGCTGGTTCCAGACTCGGCAGCAGTACAGCGGCGAGTGGGACAACAACGTCCCAAACGGCGCCGGGCTGCACGTGTGGTTCGGCGACGGAGAGATGGGCGTGCCCGCGCATGCGCAGCTGCTTATGTATAACAGGTGCAGGCGGGGGGCCCCCAAGCACGGAACGAGTCCTGAGTCCGCCGCGCTGGGCTGGGCTGGGGTGATGGATATCCGGATCCGATCGTAGGACGCCTCGCAGCTGTAGGCTCAGATGAGGATGGGGATCACGTGTGTGGGTATACCTATAAAAAGAACGATAAAAAGGACGATAAAAAGAACGCGTGCGAAGCGCGGATGGACGTCCACTCCAAAGCGTTAGCAATTGGGCTTGGATGGGTAATGCGGCGATGTACTTTGCTTCTAAAGACGGCTTGGACCGCTTCACCCGTCCCTAGTGAAACAGTGCATGCGCACCGCGGCGATGCCTCTTTACTTTTGGCCCCAATGGGATATACGGGAGGCGAGCTCCTTCCGTGGCGGGAAGGTATAACCTAGGCGCGGGAACACAGAAGGAGAGGGTCCAACCCAGCCGCCTCCCGTGCTCTCCGCTGTCGGACCGCGCTCTCCCCAGGTACTATGGACACTTTAAGGACGGCCGGCGTCACGGCTACGGTGTGTTGTACTACGCAACAGGGGCTCGATATGAGGGCTACTGGCTGGGTGATCAGAAACATGGCCCCGGCTGCTTCGTGTTTGAAAACGGGGAGGTGTGGGCGGGCGTGTTCGCGCAGGACCGACCGTTGCTGCCGCCCGGGGACACATTTGCGCCCAGCAACACGGGCATGGTCGTGCAGGTGTGGTGGGGGTTGGTAAGAGGGAACATCGTGCATGGCAAAATGCATTACGGGCCATGTGCGGGGTGCGGGGTGTTGAGAGGTGCCGGTGAGAGCAGGACAGTGGGAAGTCCGTTGCTGGAAGCTCCGTTGCTGTTTTTATTGACTGCTGCTGTTGCACTTTGTTGCGGTCTAGCTGCCAGCCGTCGGCGCCGACTAGACACAGATGCGCGAAGTGATGTGCCCTTACACCTCGGGCGCGCGGGCCGCGGTGCGGCGTTTTTGTTTATGTTGTTGCGGGAAAGGGGCCCTCTCGCCAAGGCATCATCCTACCTCGCATGCCAGCAGCACATCTTCGTCTCCTAATACGGCCGCATCACCATCACGTGTGAATGTACTGTTGCCCCAGCACTTATTGTCGAGTCATATTTAGTATTCCCAATCCTTCAGTCATCCCTACTCCCAGCCCCTGATCGGTGATTGTTTCCACTTTAACCCCCATATAGACCCATACAACCCCGGCTCAGGTAGATCACTAAAACACACGAGCCCCGTGCCTCCATCCGCCTACCCTCTCCCGCTCCCCACAGATTGATGACCTTGTGGAGGAAGAAGAGAACCCCGCCGTCAGCCGCCGTGCGGTGTCCAACCTGCTGCTTTGCTATAACACCGAGCTCCGCGCATTATACGACAAATACTGGTAAGTACGGCAGTGTCCCGGCCACCTGCGCGCAGCTCTGCAGTCGTCTCCCCTCCTTCGTCCACCTGTGCTGTAGGGCCCTTGAGGAAGGTTCCCCCTTTCAGCGACTCTTTAAATCCCGCACGCAAGCCTCTGGCTGCGTCACAGCACACGTACCGCATTTGTCAGCACAACTAGCTGCCTGGGTGGCGACCCGGCCCACCCTCCGCATTCCCGCCCAGCTCCGCCAGTCATGCGGTGGACCTGGGCGCCTTATCATGTCATGTTGCCACCCCTTCTTAAAAAACCTGCCGGCGCCTCACTCACCTTCCCTTCCGCCTCTGCCTTTCTCCCGCGCGGGATCTCTGGTCCACGTAACTGCAGCAAGCGGCCCTCGTACCACCTGCCCAACAAGCTGCCGCGGCTGAGCTTCTCCCTCCGCGCGGCGCAGCTATGGGAGCTGTTGAACGACTGTCGCCTGCTGTCGCCGCAGCTCACACACAGCACCATCAATGACATCCTGGCCATGTCACGCCTGGCTCCGGAGCGGCTGCGTCACTTCCGGCAGCAGGAGTCGCCGCACGCCGCGATGGCGCTCTCCCCCGAGCAGCGCCGCTTCTGGGACTATCTTTTCAACGAGCATATGCCAGGTGGTGTGCACTCGCCACTGGCGGACATGACCTTCCGGGCCTTTTGCGAGGCTATCGTACGCATTGCTGCCGTACGCTTCAACCACTTGCCGTCGCTGGAGCGACGGCTACACGTCGCCCTGACGCAACATCTGCTGCACCTGGTTAATAAGGCCAAGGCGGCACCGCCGGCGCCGCCGGCGCCGACGCCCGTCCTGCCGCCGAACACGTCCATCGACGCGGCGTCGGCGGCGCTGAGCGCCGTACATGAGCGCCTGGCGGCGGTGTTCCTGGAGGCCGCCGGCTCATCGCCGCCGCTGAACAAGGCGGAGGTGGCGGCTGCGATGGCATCGCCGGAGGCCCGTGGTGGTGCGGCGGTGATTGCGGGCGTCATTGCGGATCCTGTGTACGGCGTGACGGCGCCGGCGAGGGCGCTGGCGGCGGCGCTGGTGACGGCGGCGGCGAATGGCGGCGCGCTGGAGCATGCACTGACCATGAAACAGGCACTGCTGCAGCTGTTGTGGAACCACGTCACGCGTAACTTGTACGGGCCCGTACAGCGGTAGGATTATTGCACGACAGGATTGCTGGATGGTAAAGATGAGGTTGGGCTAGGGTCATGCTGCACTGCAGCTGTCCAGTCCTACTGTTCCTTTCGTCTGTGAATCTCCTCCATTTCCCATTTCCTTTAGCTTTCATTCCTTTGTTCGCGATTGCTCATAGCCCCAACCAGCCTTCCGAGCCCCGACCTGCCTAGCTCCACGCCGCTGGCCTGTTATCCTTCCCGCTCCTTCCCGCTCCTCCACGTCTTTCCCTCGCCCTGTCCGCTCGGACGCCGTGTTCCACGGTTTGATCTGCTACGCAGCATGACCATGGAGCCCTCCGATGACGGCAGCGGCTACCGTAACGTCGTACTGTCGCCGGAAGACGAGCAGGAGCTGCTGTTTGCAATGGACACGCCGTTGACGTTTGCAGAATGGCAGGACGGTGTGATGCGTATAGCCTGCGATTGGGTCGATTCACAGCCGCTGCTGCCGGATCGACTGGCGGCGGTGCTGTGCACCGGGAAGGCGCCGGTAGGGGCAGAGGCGTCAGGGGAGGAGGCGGAGGTGCTGGGGGATCTGAGCAGCGGGGAGCGGAACCTGAGTTTGGCTGGCAGCGCGCGGGAGACCAGTTTGGCCGGCGTTCGGTCCGGGGTAGTAAATAGCGAAGGGGGGATCTCGGGAGAGGTGCGTTCGGGGGAGGCTCATGTGGAGGTGGAGGGGCAGGGGGTGGGTGAGTTGCGGCTGTCGGGTGAGTTGCGGGGTTCAGGGGAGGTGCTGGCAAGCACCGCTAGCGGGGGCGGGTTTGGTTCCGGATAGGTTCGTCCTGAGCAGCGCGTAGTGGACGAGGGTAAGGGAGCCAGAAATCAGTGCACACAGGCAGCTCACGTGGCAACTTGCAGTGAATCTGTGTCTCGGGAATTGCATACACCGCATCCGTTGCGGTTGCTGTGTTGTCCAAATCAAAGCTTGGGACGGATGCTGCGGGGAGGAGTTGGGTTTGAGGGGCTGGAAAAATGAGGTCTCGAGACGGGTTCAAGGGCACCTTTTATTCACACTAAGGTTGTCTACTAATTGATTGCCAGCTGTGTGTAACTTGGGCATTATAGTCACAAGTTCTACTAGTATGAATCCTCTACATTGTGCTTCCGGATGCTGAGCACAGCACGGCTCCAATGCCACGCACTCTACGCGATCAAAAATACGCAGCGGTCCGCCCCGCCCGGCCGTCAGGCCGATGGATTCAGGGCGATGACCTGGATCCACTTCTCCTTGATACAGGCGATGGATAACGTACAACAAAGGTCACACTTGGCAAGAGAGCATAAGCCTGCCAACTGAGAACAATTCAGTATTCCTTAAATGAATTAAGCCTATATGGTCCCTATGTCCGAAACGGCAAGAGATTGGGTCATGGGCTTCACGCGTATCGCTTGCTGTGCTAGCAATGGACTGAGTACTTAAGCTACTAGGACGTCATCACATCATGTCTTATGATTCCTCAAGGCTTTATGTGGATCAGAGGGTGAGCATTGCGGCGCCACCCAATATACCAACACTGATTGTTTCAGCTTTTCGCCGCAGCATTCTATTCCTTTAGTTCATTTAAGGAATACTGAATTGTTCTCAGTTGGCAGGCTTATGTTCTCTTGCCAAGTGTGACCTTTGTTGTACGTCATCCATCGCCCTGTATCAAAAAGTGCAAGGCGAAGTGGATCCCTGAATCCATCGCCCTGACGGCCGGGCGGGGCGGTCCGAATCTCTTGGAAGGAAAGCTATTACCTGAAATGCAGATACTATCCGGGAAGATGCAGGAAATGAGGACTTAGTATGGACGTCATCATAAAACCATCATGTTACGAGTTGTACGACATCGCATTACGCAATGCAGTAAAAGTCCTGTATCTATCCATGTTTGGGCCTCTTTTGGTCAAATCATTTGATAGTTAGCTCGATGCAGTCAGAGGTTATAGCTTGTACTTGTGCCGTGATGCTTTGTTTAGCCGAAATGAAAGCGCCTCAGTAACAAATTGCGGAGAGTTCTGAATTGCGAGGGAATTACTCATGCAAGGATGAGCGGTCAGACTTCTGCGCCTGATGGTTTGCGGCGGGTTTGCGAGTTTACGCGGCGGGTGGTGGGAAAAGGCCGGAATGCGGGGAGCACGCTGTTGTCAGTGCCAGGTGATCTTGTTGAAGATCTACGAGATGCGACGCAGCAAATAGTCACCCGTCACCACTGTGCCAGCGTACCGGATGTTTTGGAGCAGCTAGAGAGGCATCGCCATGAATTTTGGTCTGAGGCTTTGGTTCTGCACGCATGGGCTGTGCGAGACCTCGCAGCTTTACAAAGCGGCACGGAGAGCTTTGAACGCATTGCGCAGCTGAACAAGAGCTTGGCTTTGCTTTCCGTTACGCCTGACCTTCTGTATGCCTCAAACGCGCTGCTCTCTCCCAGTAAAGTCAGCAAGCGGATATTGTCTTGGTTGCTTAGCAGCGATCTACTTTCGTGCTACGCCGCTGTTTTGGGAGCATTTCAGGACATCCCGGCCCCCAGCCTGAAGAACTATCTGGTCATGTTCAGCCATCTTCTGACAGTCATGGCACATGTTGGAATGGCGGTCTCGGGCGCATGCCTCGACTATGTTCCAGTTGTGACGCGTGTCGCCGTGTCCCACTGTGTCTTTCGACCGGCGTTGTATCGCGAGTGGATCACTGCTATGGCATCAAGTAACCTTCTGGAGCACAGTGCCCGGGCTTTTGTTCGATTGGAGCAGGCCGCAGCGACGGCGGGCAATTGCGACACAACGTTTTTGAACCAGAGGCTGTATGAAATGAACATTCGCTTCAGCACTCTGGTATATTGCACCACGTACCCATACTTGAAGCAACCCATCGTTGCCCTTTGCCCACGGCCTCTGGCCGGAATCTCCGCGGACGTGAACCCGACCCTCCTCGCTACGCTGGGTTTGCTGCGCACGGTGCTGTCAGGAACATGTCTGCAGGTTGGTCAAGGGTTCAAACCATGAGCCCCAGCTTTGGACGTGCAATCCTTAAGTGTACGTGTGTATACTTTGTGCTTGGATGTGCTGCTTTGTGTGCTCTTAGGCTCATTCAATA